GGTTAAAGCTATGTTGTTGATATCCCTCCCTGACGCCATCGAGAAATGAAACATTCCTATTTGCCCTTTTTGTTGGTTTGAATTTGCTGGAAACGTACCATTTTCCTCGTCGTTCTCATCGTCTGAAGATGACACCAAAGATTTCGAACCTTGGTCATCGTTGGGATGCAAACCCTGGATATCGCCGTAACTGTTATTTCTTGAAGGATAACTATCTGCAGATCGCAGAGTTCTTGATTTGTTCAAGTTTCGAAGCCGAGTGTTATCCACTTGTCTCCTGGCTCTTGTTGACTTTTTAAACAAGGACATGTCTACTCTATATTACTATTTACTTTTAGTTTGTGTCTTATTTACTTACAGTGTACCGTTGAGGTATATCTTTAAATATCATATTCCTGTAATTTTGTTCTCGTAGTTGGATCCGCATTCAGCACCTTGTATTTTATGTCTCGGTACGCGAGAGGCAGAAAGTCCCACACACGCCTCTATATAATCCATAGATAGAACAGCATCCACTTAGTCCCCAAGTTTACACTGACATCATACTGGACGTCATACTGGACATACTGGACATCATATGTGTGTGTACATGTTAATAGACTGGACTGTTAAACGTCTATAAAGTACAACGTTAAGATAACGATGTCACGTACATCATCACACACACCCTGCTATACTATCTACGGACTTGAAAATGAATAATTATCTGATAACATACCCAGGCTTCGACTAACTGTATCTATTACCCAATTGTAAAGGTACAATCACCTGTATGTCTGTATGATATGTACATGTTTATTCTTAAAGCGATATATTTGTAAACAATAATCAGTTTTTCTAGCTACCCTTTGTTTCCTAGCGCATTGCTAGGCAATGTCTCATTTTTTTTACTTTAATGGCATACGTTCACCCAGATGAACGCACTAAAGTCCTTTAAAACGGTGTTGTAAGAAATCTGGTCATACCAGCGTCAACAATACACAGTATTACTCGCCGATAATCAGATATGAAAATGAAATAAAAGAAGCCCAAATTGTGTGTACGTATGTCAACTATTGCGATCATTTGACATGCTTTTTAAGAATGCCGTTTGTTATCACAAATCATTTCCAAAAGATATGTAGAAATGTAAAACAGTGTAAAAATACGTAACCAAGTAATGCCTTCAGCACATGAAGGCATAAACCACACACGAGGAGGCACGTCTTTAAATGACTGTATCTGTTGATATGACGGTTAACCTAACCGCGTTCAACTAATTATCACAAAGATAAACAATAAAAAGCCATATTTTACGTGTACCAGCTGGATTCAATAGGGATATTATATGTTTTAAGTTGGCTAGAGTAGAGGATAGATATTCAACAGGGAGGTGTTTCAGCCATTACGTCTCGTGTGTATGCATATCTGTCAATTATTATAATCGCGTAATGTCACCTAGTTCCTTCGTGATCACACTCCACACGTGGCGAATTATCTCGCATACTGATAGAGACAAACTGGAATGTCATACTGAAACTAACGACAATACATTACATTGCCATTCATTGCCCTCAGATTTACAAATCATGGACCCTATAAATAACCTAATAAAATATATGTACTATTGAAAAAAATTCTTTGGCAGTTTTATAATGCACTTTTCAAGATTATATAATGAGATCGGTTAGATATGATGCAGTGTTATAAATTGATAACGGAGCATAGGATTGTCAACACAAAAACAATAACGAGTTCTTTCTATATCTGTATTTGTTTTATGTAGTCTGTTCACATAATACAATTCGCAGGGTTAGAAGCCCAGCCAGTGGGCTCACCATTGACACGCTGGCCTCGGAAGTATGATGAGCATAATTTGAGAACAGGAATACGAACAAAAATTCTTCTTTTGACATTCATCCACTTGCTCAATCTAAAAAGTCGATTTCTTATCTGACTTTCTAGCCCTGCATAGTCGTCCGAAACGTTAAAGCTTGTCATAAATAACTTGAGTTTCTCGATATGTCAGGCCTTAAGTTAAGGCAAGAAGAAACCCAGCTTATTGTCAAGGAATTAGTTGTGTTTTTAAAAAAGGGCCCAGACGGAGGATTGGTGAAGACTATATAGAACTATATAGAACTGTATCGACATTGTAGGAACGGAGGTTCAAACTCCACGTAATACTAAGAATTCGATGTCCACAAGTCGAAACTGAATGATGTACAAATGGTCGTTTCAGGATCAATTTCGCTGATATACACACACGATACACACTGTTTAATATGAGTCAGGTTATTGACGGCGTACGAGTTTGTACCAGGGGGGATAAGATTTACATGTAAGTTAACGTTCACCATGTGGCACTAGTAAGATGATGTCATAGAAAACTGATGATGATAGATATACGTAACTCAGCACTGTGTTATTGAAATAGGTTTTCAACCGGAAAGCTTCTGGCTTGTTTTGTACTAGTTAAGGTTTTTCAGAGACGGGAAGTAATTTTTGGGTCATATTGTACTAGATTAGGTTGCTGAGAGAAGGGAAGTAATTTTGGGTCATGTTGCTGAGAGACGGGAAGTATTTTGGGTCATGTTGTACAAGATAAGGTTGCTGAGAGAAGGGAAGTAATTTTGGGTAATGTTGTACTAGATAAGGTTGCTGAGAGACGGGAAGTAATTTTGGGTCATATTGTCCTAGATTAGGTTGCTGAGAGAAGGGAAGTAACTTTGGGTCATGTTGTACTAGATAAGGTTGCTGAGAGACGGGAAGTAATTTTGGGTCATATTGTACTAGATAAGGTTGCTGAGAGAAGGGAAGTAATTTTGGGTCATGTTGTACTAGAGAAGGTTGCTGAGAGACGGGAAGTATTTTGGGTCATGTTGTACTAGATAAGGTTGCTGAGAGAAGGGAAGTAATTTTGGGTCATGTTGTACTAGAGAAGGTTGCTGAGAGCCGGGAAGTATTTTGGGTCATGTTGTACTAGAGAAGGTTGCTGAGAGAAGGGAAGTAATTTTGGGTCATGTTGTACTAGATAAGGTTTCTGAGAGACGGGAAGTAATTTTGCAATACTATGGTAATGTCTCTGAAAGACGATGATAAAAATGTACATAACTCCCGACTGTTCTGCACTAGGTTAAACCTTTAAAAAGGCGGTAAGAAGTTGTAATTATGTTGTACTAGATAAAGGATCTGAGACGGGGATTCGTTTAGGGTCACAATGTATTAGATTAAGTTTCTAAGAGACTGAGAGTTGTAATGTTGGCTCGTGTTCGTCTAGATTATGATTCTAAAGACGTTAAGTTAGTTTTGATCATGCTGTACTTAATTAAAATTGTAAATGAGAGCAAGTAATTTTTGGTCGTATATTACTAAAATAAGATTTTGAAAGATGGGTACAAATAATGTTTGATCATGTTGTACTGCATAAAGATTCTGAAAGACGGTAAGTAATATTTGGTGGTGTGTTCTAGGTTAGGCTCAGAAGGGAGATAAAGATTGGTACAGGTAATTTGGTTGTGTGTTCTAGGTTAGGCGCAGAAGGGAGATAAAGATTGGTACAGGTAATTTGGTGGTGTGTTCTAGGTTAGGCTCAGAAGGGAGATAAAGATTGGTACAGGTAATTTGCTAAAACTAAAAAATAAGTCGTTTAACAACCTGCATGAGTTTTTAGGCTGGTTGAAATATCGGAGGGTGTTGAATTTTGGTAGGGCGTGGCTTTCTGCTGTTTTGGTTTTGTTCTACTGTTGTTAAACATGACCAGGTAAAAATGTTAACAAATATCAATAATTCGACTAATTGGTATCTTTTATTTCATCAGATCTTGGTTCATATCACAATTTATATTAGGACTTAATTAACTTAAAGAGTTCGACATTTTCGTCATGCAATCAACTTCTGGTTGTGAAAAGTTGCCTCCATTTAAACAGAGATAACTATGTGTTTACAACTGAATCCAGGAATCTTAATGTCACTATACTCCAATAAATTTAAGGTATAAAAAAGTTAATGTAACATTTTTTCAAAATATTTAATCTTATATGTCTTACAAACAATAGGAATTGTTGAAATATAAACAGTACATACATATATTGATACTATAAAATTATATAAATTTATATGAAATTATATTAATTATATTTGGACCACAAGTAGATATGATTGTATAACGAAACAAAATGTTGCTACCAATTCCGTCTTTTCATATTGCAGAGTTATCTGCTCTTGTGAGCAGGTATTGATTGTTACGTCATTAGTTTGTGTGAGAAAATTACGTCGTTTTCTCAAAAAATGATGACGTTACTCTCACAAACAAATGACGTAACATTCAAAACCTGCTATCAAGAGCAGATAACTCTGCAATACGAAAAGACGGAATACCTGCCAGTAGGTCAGACACGAGTTTAAGACACGAACACCCACTCTGAGCTTGAACCCCACAGACAATCAACCAGCCGACTAGCCATCGCAGCAAAAATTACAAGCATGACAAAATCAAAATAAAACAAGAAGAAAAATAATCTAATTAAATGACTCGTTTCCATAATGAAGCAACTCCAGTAAACCTATATTCAAATAAAATCTATGACGTCAACTGAGAAAAATTGAATAAACAATGAATATCACCACTCAAACTATATACATACAGTTAAGGAGAAATTGTTCGTGATTGTCTTTTCATATATACATGTAGAGAGTAAAGTCTAAAGTAACATAATTAATATCTACAAGATATATTACTAACATCTATTTTACTGTAACAGAACGAGATCGGGTTATCTCAGTCGAGGGCTTAGATTATTTAAAGATAATCCCAACCGAGGCGTAAGTCGAGGTTTGGATGTTATAGAATCCTAGCCCGAGACTGAGATTTTTCGATCTTGCTCAGTTACAGGTAATTTTTTTCTCGCACCTTTTAGTTCGAAATTGAAAACCTGTTAAATTTTGATGAAGACTATAAGTATCCCGTCTGGGGCCTCAAATTAATATGGCATATACGTATACTTCATTTGAATGGTTCCGTCCTTACAAAGAACACAACTAATTTCACAGCGTAGATTATGTTTAATTTACAACATCAGATATCTAACAACATCAGAACAATACATATAAAGACAGATAAGTATATGTATAATGCAGATTGTCAATATCACGCTGTCAAAAAGCGGATAAATACATCGTTGTGTAAAAGTACCAAGAAGTAGCAGACAGATCGGACGAGATAGCAACTTAATAGTTACATCTCAAATACTGAAAACGAGTTATTTGTGTTGATTGTATATTTCGCTGACAAAGCGTTAGAAGTAGGGCTAGTTAAAGCTGATAGAGCGTCAGAGGTTGGCACACTTTATAACATATAGCTACTATTTACTATAATTCTAATATTCCTACTGTTCTATTGGATATATATATGATTCACCAGTTGTAACACAGTTTTAGACTCCTTAGTTTTGTAGACTTACAAGCACTGCTACACTTCATAGCCAACAGTTAATCACTGTCTCTCCTCCAGGCGGACCTTGATCCCGTATCTTGGTTCTATTACCAATCTAGGTACATCCAACACGACGTGGTCCTCGTCCAACACAACCTTGAACCTGTAATATGTCAATAAATATCACAATTTCAATGTTTTACAGTAAGTAGGCAAAACAATGCTTAGTAACGGCAACAATTATACCATCTACATTATAATTTACGTCAGTGTGAAGCTTGAATTAGACTTGATTGTCATTTAATCAATCATCAGGTACAAAGACTTAGTATGTACTAGGCAGGGCACTATATAGCTCTTGGAAATACCAATTGTATTTTCATCACTTACATTATTTAGAGTATGGACATTTTGTGACTATGCCATGTTTAGCATGGTGCTGCATCTGTCGTTATGCCTCTGTCAACTTTTCACTAAAAAGCCTACTAGTCTAGAATTGCTGCATTGATTTTGACCAAATTTTATGCAGAGCACTACTTGCCTTAGGGGACTCAACCTCGTATACATTACGTCAAATTCCTAGTTCTTTAGCTAGGTAGGATGATCGTAACTTAAATCCGTATGGAGCATTATTGAGCAAAGGAGGATAAACTGTGTATATTTGAGGCAGTAGGGCGGGGCCTGAAAGGGGAAATATAGTAAAACCAATAATCCTTCTACTTGAGAATCAGTAAAGGGATTTGAACTTAAATTGATGTGGATCATCTTTGGGTGAAGGGAACTCAACTTTGTATAAACGGAGGATGTAGTCCCAGCAGAGGGGCAGAGCACAAAGGGGGAATATAAATAATTTTTAGAAACCCTCTTGAGTTAAGATAAAGCATTTCAACAAAAAATCGGTTAAAGCAAGCCCATAATATGGGAGGCAATATTGAATAATTGGAAGGTGTGGAATTTACCTTTATTTCCCCCTCAGGGCTCTACCCTCTGCCCTCTTAGAATATTCACCTCTTTCTACACTATTGCGTTCTTAACGATAACCAAAGAGATAGACTCCTAGTGTTAGACATCAAAACAAATCTGAAAAGTTTTAGTTGTAGTAGTGACAAACGGATGCGTGTGATTACCTTTTAACAATTCTAGAAAGAATTACTTTCTGCTCATTCATCGTGAAGTTTTGCCCGATACAGTTCCTGAAAGAGAATGTATACATGACAAGTTATAATCTGATATGATGAAGTCGCACTACAAACTGGTCTGACAGTTTTCTACTCAGCGTTCAGCAGGCAATTAGTTAACGAAGAGGTGAACAGGGCATTGTCAAAGTGTGGTATCCGGTCATTTGATTATACCGAGTGGAATATGCGGGGAGAAGTATATTTATCACATATTCGGCCTTTTATCCAGTGAGTTCGCCCGTGTAATATGTTTACATATGCCACTAGTGTAATATATCCTGGAGCGTTTTAAATTGGCTGTGCAAGTCAGAGATCGATTGTGACGTCATAATATGGACAATAACGTGACGTCATAAATTGTGAATGGCGCAACAAAATGGCTGTCTCCGTTTGATTAAGCCCTCTACGTTTTGGCTTTAAACCCTGTCAAAATGTAAGTTTTCTGAGTTATGTGATAAAGAGTATCTTATTTTTTTTTTCATTTCATATGAGATTTTATGAAACGAGTCTTAGGAGTTTTTGCGAGCCTTCAGCAGGCAATTAGTTAACGAAGAGGTTAACAGACCATTGTCAAAGTCTGGTATCCGGTTATTTGATTATTCCGAGTGGAATCGGGGGGGGGGGGGGGGGGGGGGGGGGGGGATATGTATCTGGTATCCCATTGAATGATCCTACCAGTCTACCTTTAGGGGTTCTCTGCGATTTGCGGTCTATTCTGTACTCTCTCCGTGGAGAGTGGGACGACCACTGATAGACCACTGCGCCTACATTGTACCGTTCGGGACATTTCTTTTTGTTCTTTCTTGTCTACCCTGATCATTGATTTATAATTTATAGTATATTAATTTGTATTTTCGTATTCATATCGATGACGCAGACTTTTCCTATTTCGTCGAAACAAACCTTGGGCCGGCGGCGAATGGTATAAAGGCAAATGGGCTCCTTTTGGCTGCATTTTCTGGGAGGAATCGTTCTGGTCGAAACTCCTGTCGGAATATAAAGCAGTTATCTGTTGTAAGTTTAAGAATACTCCCTGTAAGCAGAGAATATGACAACATTTAATAACGTGGACATAAGACATATTGTACATAAGGTTTTTTTCACTTTAGCAGTTTTCGTTAATTAGATTTTCAGGTATCGATGTCAAGAGTAACTACTGCCACAATAACCACGAATATCAAATCAAACACTGTGCTAAATCATAAGTGTAACGTTAACGCATAAATAACACTGCGCGGCATCAAAGCTCCACCGTATATCATATACATTTGTATGGAGCACAATGTGATCAGAATGTCCAAATATCTAGTGATTATAATGTCTCTATATCTAGTGATCAGAATGTCCCAATATCTAGTTATAACAATGTCCCTATATCTAGTGATTATAATGTCCCAATATCTAGTTATTAGAATGTCCCCTTTATCTAGTGATAGCAATGTCCCAATATCTAGTGATCAGAATGTCCCAATATCTAGTGATTAGAATATCCCTTTATCTAGTGATCAGAATGTCCCAATATATAGTGATCAGAATGTCCCAATATCTAGTGATTAGAATGTCCCCTTTATCTAGTGATCAGAATGTCCCAATATATAGTGATCAGAATGTCCCAATATCTAGTGATTAGAATGTCACCTTTATCTAGTGATAGCAATGTCCCAATATCTAGTTATCAGAATGTCCCTATATCTAGTGATCAGAATGTCCCAATATCTAGTGATTAGAATGTCACCTTTATCTAGTGATCAGAATGTCCCAATATCTAGTGATCAGAATATCCCAATATCTAGTGATTAGAACGTCCCCTTTATCTAGTGATAGCAATGTCCCAATATCTAGTTATCAGAATTTCCCAATATCTAGTGATCAGTATGTCCCAATATCTATTAATCAGAATGTCCCAATATCAAGTGATTAGAATGTCCCCTTTTTCTAGTGATCAGAATGTCCCCTTTATCTAGTGTTAGCAATGTCTCAATATCTCGTGATCAGAATGTCCCAATACCTAGTGATCAGAATGTCCCAACATCTAGTGATCAGAATGTCCCAATACCTAGTGATCAGAATGTCCCCTTTATCTAGTGTTAGCAATGTCTCAATATCTAGTGATCAGAATATCCCAATATCTAGTGATCAGTATGTCCCAATATCTATTAATCAGAATGTCCCAATATCTCGTGATCAGAATGTCCCAATATTTAGTGATTAGAATGTCCCCTTTACCTAGTGATAGCAATGTCTCAATATCTCGTGATCAGAATGTCCCAATACCTAGTGATCAGAATGTCCCAACATCTAGTGATCAGAATGTCCCAATACCTAGTGATCAGAATGTCCCCTTTATCTAGTGTTAGCAATGTCTCAATATCTCGTGATCAGAATGTCCCAATAGCTAGTAATCAGAATGTCCCAATATCTCGTGATCAGAATGTCCCAATACCTAGTGATCAGAATGTCCCAACATCTAGTGATCAGAATGTCCCTATATCTAGTGATCAGAATGTCACAATATCTAGTGATCAGATTGTCCCCAATATCTAGTGATCAGTATGTCCCAATATCTATTAATCAGAATGTCCCAATATCTCGTGATCAGAATGTCCCAATACCTAGTGATCAGAATGTCCCAACATCTAGTGATCAGAATGTCCCAAAATCTAGTGATCAGATAGTCCCAATATCTTGTGATCAGAATGTCCCAATACCTAGTGATCAGAATGTCCCTATATCTCGTCATCAGAATGTCCCAATATCAAGTGATTAGAATGTCCCCTTTTTCTAGTGATCAGAATGTCCCAAAATCTAGTGATCAGATAGTCCCAATATCTTGTGATCAGAATGTCCCAATACCTAGTGATCAGAATGTCCCGATATCTAGTGATCAGAATGCCCCAATATCTAGTGATCAGGCTGTCCCAATATCTAGTGATCCCCCTGTCGCAATATCTAGTGATCAGAACGTCCCTTTATCTAGTGATTAGAATGTTCCAATATCTAGTGATCAGGATGTCCCAATATCTAGTGATCAGAATGTCCCAATATCTTGTGATCAGAATGTCCCAGTTTCAAGTGTTACACTAACGGTCCGTTATAACAGAATAAGTGACAGTATACACGATGTCAAGAAAGCGGGTAGAGTATTGTTTTGTGTCGATATCACAATGGCATTTATCTATGTTTATTTTATGTACTACCAGTTAATTTTGGCAGAAGGGCATTTATTTATGTAGAAACACTTGATCGTTTCCTCAATTTAAATTTGAATATTCCATAGTTTTCAGTGATATGAATGCGATAACCGGAGAGAGTGTAGATTATACTGAAGGAGACAAAAGTGAGTATATCCCAGTTCATACTGACTATCAAGTACATGTAGATAAGACAGTATCACGCACATCTTTAGATTAAGCAATAGCTAATGAAAATGTCACAATTATGCATGTATGAACGAGCGCGGGGAAAATATAATTGATTACGTTCAGGTTCTGATGTTGGGTTTGGAGGAGGCGGTTAAAAAAGTGAATGAAGATCTATGCATAGCAGCCGATCCTATAATGGCAAAAAGTCTTCGTTTTACGGAAACTTCATCTGAGAAGGGCTACTATTCTCTGCTATACACCTCTGTATAATCCTGTTGTAATAAGATACTTACTTAGGGGTCATCATACACTTCTAGATTACCCCTTGTAATAGGATACTTAGTTTAGGGTCGTCATATACCTCTGTGTTACCCCCCTGAAATAGGATAGTTAGTTTAGGGTCCTCATACACCTCTGTATTTACCCCCCTGTAATAGGACACTTACTTTAGGGTCGTCATACACCTCTGTGTTAACCCCTGTGTTAGGATACTTATTTTAGGGTCGTCATATACCTCTGTATTTACCCCACTGTAATAGGATACTTACTTTAGGGTCGTCATACACCTCTGTGTTAACCCCTGTGTTAGGATACTTATTTTAGGGTCGTCATACACCTCTGTGTTAACCCCTTGTAATAGGATACTTAGTTTAGGGTCGTCATATACCTCTGTGTTACCCCCCTGTAACAGGATACTTACTTTAGGGTCGTCATATACCTCTTTGTTACCCCCATGTAATAGGATACTTACTTTAGGGTCGTCATACACCTCTGTGTTAACCCCTGTAATAGGATAGTTAGTTTAGGGTCCTCATACACCTCTGTATTTACCCCCCTGTAATAGGACACTTACTTTAGGGTCGTCATTTACCTCTGTGTTACCCCCTGTAATAGGATACTTACTTAAGGGTCGTCATATACTTCTGTATTTACCCCCCTGTAATAGGACACTTACTTTAGGGTCGTCATATACCTCTTTATTACCTCCCTGTAATAGAATACTTACTTTAGGGTCGTCATCTACCTCTGTATTACCCCCCTGTAATAGGATACTTATTTTAGGGTCGTCATATGCCTCTGTGTTACCCCCCTGTAATAGGATAGTTAGTTTAGGGTCCTCATACACCTCTGTATTTACCCCCCTGTAATAGGACACTTACTTTAGGGTCGTCATATACCTCTGTGTTCCCCCCCTGAAATAGGATAGTTAGTTTAGCGTCGTCATATGCCTCTGTATAACCCCCTGTAATGGGATACTTATTTTAGGGTCGTCATATACCTCTGTGTTACCCCCCTGTAACAGGATACTTACTTAAGGGTCGTCATATACCTCTGTATTTACCCCCCTGTAATAGGACACTTACTTTAGGGTCGTCATACACCTCTGTGTTAACCCCTGTAATAGGATATTTATTTTAGGGTCGTCATATACCTCTGTATTACCCCCTGTAATAGAATACTTACTTTAGGGTCGTCATACACCTCTGTGTAACCCCCTGTAATAGGATACTTATTTTAGGGTCGTCATATACCTCTGTTTTAACCCCCTGTAATAGGATACTTATTTTAGGGTCGTCATATACCTCTGTGTTAACCCCCTGTAATAGGATACTTATTTTAGGGTCGTCATATACCTCTGTGTTACCCCCCTGTAATAGGATACTTACTTTAGGGTCGTCATATACCTCTGTATTTACCCCCCTGTAATAGGATACTTACTTTAGGGTCGTCATACACCTCTGTGTTAACCCCTGTAATAGAATACTTACTTTAGGATCGTCATATACCTCTGTATAACCCCCTGTAATAGGATACTTACTTTAGGGTCGTCATACACCTCTGTGTTAACCCCTGTAATAGAATACTTACTTTAGGATCGTCATATACCTCTGTATTACCCCCTGTAATAGAATACTTACTTTAGGGTCGTCATACACCTCTGTGTTAACCCCTGTAATAGGATACTTATTTTAGGGTCGTCATATACCTCTTTATTACCTCCCTGTAATAGAATACTTACTTTAGGGTCGTCATACACCTCTGTGTTACCCCCTGTAATAGGATACTTACTTTAGGGTCGTCATATACCTCTGTGTTACCCCCTGTAATAGGACACTTACTTTAGGGTCGTCATTTACCTCTGTGTTACCCCCTGTAATAGGATACTTACTTTAGGGTCGTCATATACCTCTTTATTACCTCCCTGTAATAGAATACTTACTTTAGGATCGTCATATACCTCTGTATTACCCCCAGTAATAGGATACTTACTTTAGGGTCGTCATGCACCTCTGTGTTAACCCCTGTAAGAGGATACTTATTTTAGGGTCGTCATATACCTCTGTGTTACACCCTGTAATAGGACACTTACTTTAGGGTCGTCATACACCTCTGTGTTAACCCCTGTAATAGGATACTTATTTTAGGGGCGTCATATACCTCTGTATTACCCCCTGTAATAGGATACTTACTTTAGGGTCGTCATACACCTCGGGGTTACGGTGAAGTACGGCAAAATTGACTCCAATGGCAGTTCCGGCGGGAAATGTGTGTCCCTCCAGCTCCATAGGCTTAGTGAGGAGCCGGGTGGTGGTCGCAGCGGGGGTGTACAGCCTTAAGTTTTCCTTCAGGAACATGGTCGTCTTTTGTAACTTAGCCAGGTCCTCCCTGTACAATTGAAGATAATCATAATAATATATAACATTAAAACAGCGCCCTATATTATTTGTAAAATCACTCTCTAAAGCGCTTTACAGCATACGTATCATAGTATTAGTTATAATTGTTAAACAAAAAAGGCTTACTATCACCATTATACGTGAAGCAAAACAATTATCATCTCAATGTGCACATAAATGAAGAGGTGAGTTTGTATGTCCTTCTTGAATTTGGCCAGGGTATTTGACTTTTTATTATTATACCTCTACTTTATTTACTCTATATACAAGTAATTGGTTAAATTGAATATATCCCCACTTTTGCCCGACTGTGTTTTAGTCCTGTGTGTTAGTCTCGGAACTAAAACACACCTACACTTGGGTGTTTCCGCCGTGCCAATCAGGAGAGAGGTGGGCGGAACTTGTTACAGAAGTCGGAAGCGACGCGCGAAGTGGGCGGAGCTTGCTTCCGAACTCGGCATTTGGCACCATTGCCATCAAAAGGGTAGTTGGGACGTGAAGCTATACAGCTTATGGTTAACAAATATTTTCTAGTTAAAACTATCTCTCCAGTGTGTATCGGTATAATAAAACGGTTAAAGTATGGGGTTGATAGATAATGCAAGTTTCCGGTGTCCCTTGACCATGCCTATTTCCCTCGGCTTCGCCTCGGGACATAAATCTGGCCTCGAGACAGCAGATACTTGCTATATCCCTCAACCCCATACTTTAACTATATAATAACTTATGGTAAGCTATTCCACAACGTGGCAGAAACACTCTTAATAACAGAGATTTTAATTAAAGATTACCTGTAACGTTTTTTTCTGAAATATGATAAGGTACTGGTACAACTTATTGTTGATATATAAACAAATTATCTTCTATACAGTAAAACTTGGATAAGTCGAAGTCCTCTGGACCAATAAAAAGTATTGTCCGATGGTTCGACTCTACCTGTTATATCGTAAAGGAGCACTCGAATGACCTGAAATGTATTCCGTTAACTATAAGGTTGTTTAAATATTGAAATTATTTTTGTTTGTCAAAATGGTCAAGATTATATACCATACTTTTACATTAGGATCACATGATAAATGATAGAACACGTGCACAACACTGTTCATCGTTACAAACAAAAACAGCACAACACTCATGTTTCGTGTATACGGGCCTCGTGGTCCCATGTTAGAAGTATGGGCTGAAATAAATTCAGATGAAGGCTATGAAATGACAACACAGTAATCGAGAGATGGAATTCATGATACCTAGTCGGCTATAATTAGAGGTTATTAAATGACTATTTTGATATCACACCGTTTATCAGCCTGAATCCTTGATATCAGCCCGAGGGCCCAGGCCAGAGAGCTGACATTAGGTCAAGGGCTGATAAACGATGTGATATCGAAATAGTCATGTTACAACCTTTTTAATACACATTTTGAAAAACAAAACAAAAATTAATTTATTTAACAATTGTTGTTGTTCTTGTTGTTTTGGCTTTCGTCTGTGGCGGAAACCGAAGCGTCTAAAAATTAAACTGAAATCCGGAGTGAAGAACCCGGATGAAGTGAGAAGTGTAAAAAAATGTTAATCAGCCCGGGCACTTATACAACACTTGTATCACATGGGCAAAATGTATATTATCAGAGACAAAAGTGTAATAAACTTGATTTATTACAACAAATATTATAAAACAAGTTATTTCAACTTATATCAATCACCCTTTTTCTGCCATGATGATGGCGCGCGGAGGCTTTTATTCTGGAAGGAAACCGGAGTACACTGAAAAAACTCACGTGGTGGGCAGGTAATCCCATACCTTTTTACGTCCGGGGAAATCGAACCCTGATCGCCTTGATGAAAGGCGAGTGCGTTATCCACTGCGCCACCCGACCACCCCAGTCTGGTTCGCTACATCTTACATCGTCCGTTATCCCTGTGATAACTACGGTATATACCAACCAACGAAAATGTTTGCGTGTTTATTATTGACTTTGTTTGATTCATCAAAATAAATATTTACACAATACAAAACCTTTAATAATTCCACGATAAGTTTGGTCATCATATCATGGTTACAGATATGTTTTAATAAAGCGATGTTAAGGTAATAGGATTGTGTCACCATTTCTCAGTAGAATGTCTTAACATTTTTTAGTTATATTGCTTTGAAGTAAAGAAAATGTTCTGCCACAAAAAATATATAGGTTGTCATAATTTTATGGAATTTAAATGGAAATTTATGTAAAATGGAGTGACTTTTGAAAAAAAAATGAATCACATTTTTCGGCAAAATAATGTCAATAAAAATTATACTGCCATATATTAGTATTGCATGAATGTTTTTCAATTTAATAAATGTCAAATAAATTATCTATAAACGATTAAAAATTGACATTTTATAATAAAACCATATGCACATAGTAATTGCAGGTAAGAATTATCTTTCTTGAAAAACTTCACAGTAGTGAAATAGGTAGCCGGTTTCCTGAAGTACATAAAAACGGATACATGTGACTCATTGATAAAAAAAATGCCTGCATTGCTATGAAATACTTTAATATTGAGAGAACACACTGTTCTGTCAATAATAAACATACAATATTCATCAGTTTAATATTAAACATTAGAATATGCGGAAATTGTGATACTGTCTCCCTACATTGGATTTTCAACTAGGAATGTACTTCCTACTTCCGTTTATCAATAAGTTAATTCACAGTAAACTATGTAATTTTGAATCAAAGTCGGTCGGACAGTGCAAACTAAGCCTAACGTTCAACGGGAGGTAACTCTTGTTTAACTCGCGTGTGTGTTAATGAGTTAGCTATTGACCAAAGGAGGCATGCCATGTCTCAGATGGCGGTAAATATGTCGTTTATTTTAACAACAAATTGGTATCAACACACGGTACGGTGTCTAGTGGTAGGACGCCGGGCCCGTGACCAAAGGTTTGCAGGTTCGAGTCACGTCACTGCACTGTGTTGTATCCTTGAGCAAGATACTTTAATCCACTTGTTCCAGTCTACTCAATTGTAAATGAGTAGGTGGCTAGAATTGTAGAATGCTTGTTCTAAGCAACGAAATGGCAGCACCGACTGTATGCTCCCCAGGGAGTTGAGAAAGATATTGGCTGGTTGCAAAGGCCTTATGACCACGGATAATAGTTTGTGAACCGCTTTGAGACGACCTACGAACTGTAGGTTGTGATAAAGCGGTATATCAGAACCTCGAACTATTATTATTATTATTATGAACATGGGAAGCATATGCGTTTACTTTGAGAAGTATCGTATACGTATCGAAAACCTCATATCAGTTTTGTTGAAACTTTATAATTAGCCAATCCACAAACAGCCAAGGACTACGTCCGTCCGAACGGATTACAACATATTTTAAGCGGCTTGCGAAATATAGTAACAATCCTTGGATATACTTTAAGCTATTAGTCGTTACAAACGCTATTGTGTAGCCGTTAAGTTTCTTACCATTCGACGTATTGTCGGTCGCCCGTGACGTCACACACCTCCCGGTACACCGCCTCCTGTTCCTCTGGGTACTTGCCCATGTGATACAGGGCCCAGATCAGGGCGGAATAACTCGTGTCGTGACCTACAAATATACCAGTTTTACTTCTTTACGGCTAGCTAATGCAGTTAAGTCCACAATTTTGTAACGACAAATTACATCACACAGCATCAACTGGTAAATATGCACAAACTAATGACGTCACAATGGGCCAACGCTAAAGATACACAGCATGATGACGTCACAGTGAATAACTGGTAATAAGTAGCTCTCCAGCTAAGAACCATGCAAAAAGATATGAAAGCAGCCTGATTCAACAGAAGGAAGTGTAAGGAATACTGTTGTGGCCTCATCTGATAATGGTCAAGCGACAACGTTAACACCTGTACAAGAACAAGAGCCTTCAACATCAAATTCTGACAATGGAAATGTCGTACAATGTCCTGAGGAAGGCTGCACCAGGGTGTACCTTACATTTTCTGGCCTTGAAGCTCACCTATTGGTAGGGAAACACAAAATTGTTTTAAACAAAACATCAAGTTTTGACAGTATAAAGCTTAATTGGAAGGACATCTGTGAAACACTAGCAGTCAGAATGTCATTCACAAGAAACAGTGAAAGCCATTGTAATCATGGTGATGCAGTGTTACCAAAAGGCTGGGCCCTGCGAAAAGATAGGAAGATTAACCGTTTCTCTGAAAAGGTTAAAACTTTTCTAAGGGGCATATTTGAGGCAGGACAAGGTGGCCAGAAGGTCAACCCTATGGATGCAGCCAACCACATGAGGGTTTGCATGGATGAAGATGGCAATAAGATGTTTCAGCCAAATGAATATTTACAGCAAGGACAGATTGCTTCATATTTTTCTCGACTTGCTGTCATGAGTAAAGTACCACCTAGCAAAAGACAGACCATTGATGATGCTGACCTAGAATCCATTGTGCAAACTCTGTAGATATTCTAAACATTAATGTCTAAGTAGTTCTATGTAAACATAATCATTTGTATACCCCCTGCATAGGGCTTAATAGAAATCACCCTGTCTGTCCCTCAGTCTGTCCATTATCTTGTAAGTGCAATTCCTCCTAAACCTGTAAATATATTATTTAAACATCACATAGTGGAATGAGGATGTGCATGGATGAATGTTTTTTTCTTTCAGACATCATTTAAGGAAGAAATAAACAATACATGTACATGAGCCTTAGAAACAGGTAGAATGCGAGTCGAGTACAAATGATTTTGATATTTTCTGACAATATACATGAATTGTTTTTATCCTGCACCATAACATGAAATAACTTTATTCTAAACCCTTCATTTAACTCGAGAAAAAGTGGTATGTACATTAGCAATTACACGAGGCCATTATCTGGTATGACTGCAGAAATTAAACCAGTCAACAATGCCAATTGCCATTGAAAATTACGGGATAGGTACCAGGAGACGATATTTGTATAGTATGCGAATTTCACTTTTGTTTATTGGTACCCCTGTATGCATATAGAAAAACGGCTAGTAGGATAAAATAGGATGATTGTGGTTTTTTTTATCATACTTTGTTTTAATCGCAACTTCTCCTAAACCAGTGAATGGATTTCATTGAAACTTCACACAATTGTAGTCTGCCATACGAATATGTGCATGACGAAATAGTTTTTCGGTCAGATGTCATTAAGGGGAGTTCATTTGACTTGAGTGAAAAAAGGGGTATTTCTTTTTTGAGGTTCCCTTACCTAGCTCTAATGTGGCAAATTGGCAAATTTTGATCACATGCTGAACCTCTATGAACTGTGCAAAACTTGGAAACATCATTTGGTATAATAGTTGGTAAGGAGTAACATTTGTTGAAATCAATTGGTGTCAGCAGCCTTTGACCTGCCTTATGTACCAGTATGTACTACTTTCATCAATTTATTGTTTCTACTGATTAAAAATGTTATGTTGTTAACAGAATTGTTTTGTTCTTTTAAAATTACCTGAATTTCAATATTTAAAAAACCCACTATTTTTAGCACAGATAAACTGCAATTTATTGATAAAACCTTAGGAGGCAACAACATTTTTTGTGCATGAAATTGTTAAATGAAACCTGTTAAAACCATGTAGCATAACATGTTACCCCCATTTATTTGATGTGGGATGATAGCAGACACAGAAAATTGCCTAATTTCAATATTTTACAAAAATCTATTTATAGCACAATTTTACTGCAATTATTTGAAAAAAACTTATAGGGAACAAACAAAATATTGTAAGAAATTGTCAAATGAAACCTATTGAAACCATAAAGCATAACACATTACCCCCATTATTTTGGAGTAGAATGATAGCAGACACTGAAAACTGCTTAATTCCACATTTTTCTAAAAAAATCCGTAATAGTCTACATATTTTTATTTTTGACATGTTTTAGGCCAAAGACAACTGTAATAGGACAATCAACCAGATCAATTCTATTCACTTGCTCATAAGAGATAATCAAATGCAAAAATTGTAATTTTTAGTACTTTTTTCATGAAGAAATTGTGTGTTAAATTGGTTGTCATGGTAACCTATTGTCAATGCATTATGAAGATAACAACATATCTTCAGGATATTTCAGGTACAGTACAACATCATGTACCTGTGCAAATGTTTTGAAATTAATGTACTTGATGTATAAATTGGTATGAAAAATGATGCAAAACTGAGGTTTTTGAGGCAAGTAAAGGCCTGTTGCTAAGGCAGGACTGTTACCATAGCAACATAATTATATTTGGTCCGTTGCTTGCCATTTTTATCAGTTTTCCAAATAATTGAACTTATTTAACCGCACTAGATATATATCCTTGACTATGAGTGTATCACCCATTGCATGGTTCTTAGCTGGAGAGCTACATAAATACACAACTACCGTGCGTTCCTTTATCGGGTCTGTACCAGTTGTACCGGTACGAACCTGCTGAATCCGTAATGGAACGCGCCGTACCAGCCGAACCGTACCGGTTCGTGTAGTTCGCTCGCTGAATCGTACCAAATGGATCCAAAATGGCGGCACTATATTGCCTCGGTCGACTTTCACATGCATTTTTTTTTAATAAATCGAGACAAGGAATCGTCCTTTGCCTATGAAATTGTATGGGTTCTCTAAAAACATGAAGAAAGTATTCAGGTTTCAATTTGAACTGGACAAAAATGGTTGTAATAGTCTGAACTTGACGATAATCATCACCGTAATCCATGCGTGCAGTCGTACCGAAGCACTGTTAGGTATTTTCCACGAAATCGGTGATCATAGCTATGATGTCATTCCTTTGTACTTATCAGTGCAAGCGGATATTATATTAACATTTCAAGATCATACTAATTTATTTGTTCTAGGTAAGCTACTAATGTGACTTTCCTCGTCTCGTTTTATGCACAAAAAGTATGTATATGTAAACCCGCTTAAATTCGAATTTGAAATAAATTCATTTGCAGTGTTGGTATCGACTGACTTTTGAAAACGAAAGAGAAACGGAAAAGCTCAAAAGCAAACAAAACAACGCACAAATGTACATAAATAATACCGACCAAGCTGATGGCCACTCACTGAAGATTCGCAACTTATTCAAACTCTAAAATTGTGATGATGTGCATTATTTACATGAACCATAAACTGTACATGACATATAATTAAGGGGTTCTTAATTTGTTGGCGCCAACCATATATCTCCCTTGAATTCATAGCTTTTTACTGTTTCGGACACTTATATTATATACTACATAGCTTTAACAATCACACAGATCGTGGTATGCTTGTCCAATGAACCACAAATAACGCATCAACAAAACACTCTTCCACAATGTCACAGCAACGAAACTGAATATTTCAGCGACAACATTGGATAAAAGTTATCATGGAAAGAGAAAAATAACAGAAAGGACAACATCGACTTTAAAACTAGAAAATATAATCTCTTTATGGGTCATTTCCAAACACGCAACTTAAACAAAGTCATTAGTCTGGTGTTTATAAAAAATACATTCCTGTATAGAGACTATTATCAACATTCTAAAAAACATTTACCTGCGAACATAAAGGTATCGACCTCGTCCCTGATCTCCTCGTCAGTAAGTCCGGCTCCAGACTTGTCCTTTGCCGTCATTAAAATATCCAGGAAATCCATTCTCTTCTTGTTTGTGAGGAGTGATGGATCATCAGCCTGAAAACCCAAACGAGGGTGACATCTGTAAACATCCATAACGAGGCTGTTACTTGTACACAGTCAGAACGAGGGCCGGGTGACACATATAAATAGCCAGATCGAGGGTGTCACATGTAAACGGCCAGATCGATGGCGGCACATGTAAACGGCCAGAACGTGGGTGGCACATGTATACAGCCAGAACGAGGGCCGGGTGACACATGTAAATAGCCAGATCGAGGGAGTCACATGTATACAGCCAGAACGAGGGCAGGATGATGATGACACTATTTACCAATTCTCTCCTTCTCTTGGCAATGATTTTCTCAGCAAAACCGTGTACGTAATCTATACATCGTTTGTAGTCCTTCCCTGCGGCCGAAAGCATGTACAGGTTCCAGGACATCAGGTGCCACGGTATCCTAAACAGAGAAACAGTAAAATCATATTGTCAAAACAACAGTCAAAACTTATTGTCACAACAGTCAAATCTTATAATGGTCACAACAGTCAAATCTTATTATTGTCAAAACAGCCAAAACTTATTCTCAAAACAACAGCCCAAACTTATTGTCAAAACACGATCAAACCTTAGTGTCTAAACAACAGTAAAACCTTAGTTTCAAAACAACAGCCAAAGCGTATTGTCAAAACAACAGTCAAAAAATATTGTCACAACAGTCAAACCTTACTGTCAAAACAACAGTAAAACCTTAGTTTCAAAACAACAGCCAAACCTTATTGTCACAACAACAGTTAAAAGTTATTGTCTAAACAACAGTCAAAACTTATTGTCACAACAGCCAAAACGTATTGTCAAAATAGTCAAACTTTAGCGTCAAAACAACAGCCAAACCTTATTGGGTATTGGGGAAAACAACAGTCAAATCTGTGTCAAAACAACAGTCAAAACTTATTGAGAAAACAACAGAAAAATTATTTTCAAAACAACAGTCAAAACTTATTGGGTATTGGGGAAAACAACAGTCAAATCTGTGTCAAAACAACAGTCAAAACTTATTGAGAAAACAACAGAAAAATTATTTTCAAAACAACAGTCAAAACTTATTGGGTATTGGGGAAAACAACAGTCAAATCTGTGTCAAAACAACAGTCAAAACTTATTGAGAAAACAACAGAAAAATTATTTTCAAAACAACAGTCAAAACTTATTGGGTATTGGGGAAAACAACAGTCAAATCTGTGTCAAAACAACAGTCAAAACTTATTGAGAAAACAACAGAAAAATTATTTTCAAAACAACAGTCAAAACTTATTTTCAAAAAACAGTCGAAATCTTCTTTTCAAAATAACACTCCAAACCTCTGTTCAATACAAGTCAAATGTTATTTTCAAAACAACAGACAAAACCTTTTAGCAATATAAATTCTTGAAATCTTGTTATTTTATAAGGTTTTTATTGTTATAAGGACTACTTATGTACGAGTATTCATATCATGGATAACAAAATATTACATAACCTAAACCGACCTGGCCCCAGTTGCTGAAATATTTGTTAAAATTCAAACTGTTTTCTATAAAAAAAAGGGGGTTTTGAAAGTAAATAAAAACTTCAAAAGACACCAATCTTATATGTCCCACCAATCTTTAGCCGTGAAATAATACCAGATGTTCTTGACTATCTTGTTTTCATATTTAAACATTTTCCCCAACCAGTGGTTAATTATAAGTCTGCCCAATTTTTGATCAACGTTGATCACGTGATCTGGTGATTGATACCTACAAAAATCGTTTAATGATCAGTTCCGAGATCCGGTGAATGGTTTTGGGATAAGGATGGTCTTCTCTGAAAATATATAACATATCATTAAGAGCTTCATTCTGATTGAAATATATTGCATCACGTGATATGAAACATGTGTGTTAATAGTCAATAATAGTCGAGCGTTGCGTTTGTTTAATTGGTAGGTCCGCTGCGTAATATTGGTGTGCTGAAATACCCGTATGTAGCGTCTTTTTGTGATAAATAGAGCTTATACTGATTCGTTTTGTCTGTCACACAATGTCTCCCGCTGTAAATAGATTTTTCTTTATTCTGTCACGGTATACCTTTGTCATGTTATCCGCTAGTCACTGTATTTGTTGTTTTTGATCGAGTAATGCTTATTTTCCTATTATGATGCAATTAAAAGTTCCCTTCGTTGTTTTTTTGTATGTTCCTTTTCTTTGCCCTAAAAGCCTCTTCTGTGTCAATCGGCCGTTAAGAACTCATTCAATAAATTTAACGCAGCTATTTTATGTAAGACTGGTCAAAATAATGAGTGAATATGCCGAAAAACGCCCTCCTGTGTGAGAACATCTGTTTTTTTAGAAAACTGTTCTCATGGGCCCCGAATCATGAGTGTGACCGATATTCCGTCTTTGCGTTATCTTCTCTTGTGAGCAGGTATTGATTGTTACGTCATTTGTTTGGGAGAGTAACATCATCAATTTTTGAGAAAACGACGTAATTTTCTCACACAAACCAATGACGTAACAATCAATACCTGCTCAAAAAAGAAGATAACTATGCAATACGAGAAGACGGAATAGAAGAAAGTAAAATCTCTGGACATTAAAACGTCCTAACTATACGGTTTATACTTACTGCTCCTGTATATTACCCTCATAGGAAAGAGCACACCTCAATATGGTGTCCAGAGTGGCCAGTCCTATATCTTTAGTGATGTCAATACTATTAGCTCCAGTCGCCATCTTCGCGGCATATTTGTTCTGTAGTAATAAAACCTTGGCTTCATCATCGATGAAAAACGACATTTTGTTTCTAATCTACGGCAAACCTAGAATATCGACAGTAATTGCTTGGGTATAAAATAATCCTATGGTCAACAAAGACAAAAATTGACCGAAAGGACAGGTCAAAATAAGGGCCTCCGGACAACAGCTTTGCAAGTGCGGACAGAGTCAGACAGCGGGAATCTTAGAAAGAGGTAAAGGGGCACCTGACGCCCCGAAACAGAGGAACGGGTAAAACACAGGATCTCCGGATACAGGTCATGTATCCATTCGGATAACCTCGCCCCAATTACAGTTCCTTTAATCAAATATGACGAAATCGTCCGATGTGTTCCGAATGGTCATGTCCACGACAGAGGCGACTCACAGGCCTCGATTGGCCGAAACAGAGCAACTCCGGATGAAAGTTTATGTTGCCCCTGACGGCCCACGACCGAGGCAGCTTAAGGTGCCTCTACTGGCCAGGAGAGACGAAATCCGGTAATAGCGAAGGTACCCGGCTAACAAATTTGGAGGTGCAGACAGACACAGACAGGGGAAATCTAGGTAACAACTCTTGTGAACGTTTAACAGGTTAGTTAATTGATGAATTTGCTATCGTCCTTTTTCAAGAGGGTAAATCGCTTAAAATTGAGACATTTTACACTAAAATCATGTCTAGATTGCATTTTTATCAGCATACATGATTTCAATTTCTGAGGACATTTACATTTTTGTTTTACTTTGTGGATTCACCTGCGTAACAGCGCATAGGCAGGTACACTCTCTACCGATAGGCGATTCACCCACTCGTAACAGCGTATAGGCAGGTATACACTCTCTACTGATAGGCGATTCATCTGCGTAACAGCGTATAGGCAGGTATACACACTCTACCGATAGGCGATTCATCTGCATAACAGCGTATATGCAGGTATACACTCTCTACTGATAGGCGATTCATCTGCGTAGCAGCGTATAGGCAGGTACACACTCTCTACCGATAGGCTTTTCATCTGCATGACAGCGTAGAGGCAGGTACAAACTCTACCGATAGGCGATTCATCTGAATAACAGCGTATAGGCAGGTGCACACTCTAGCGATAGGCGATTCATCTGCATAACAGCGTATAGGCAGGAACAAACTCTACCGATAGGCGATTCATCTGCATAACAGCGTACATGCAGGTATACACTCACTACCGATAGGCGATTCATCTGCGTAGCAGCGAATAGGCAGGTATACACTCTACCGATAGGCGATTCATCTGCGTAACAGCGTACATGCAGGTACACACTCTCTACCGATAGGCGATTCACCTGCGTAACAGCGTAAATGCAGGTATACACTCTCTACTGATAGGCGATTCATCTGCGTAACAGCGTATATGCAGGTATACACTCTCTACCGATAGGCGATTCATCTGCGTAACAGCGTATAGGCAGGTACACACTACCGATAGGCGATTCATCTGCGTAACAGCGTATAGGCAGGTATACACTCTCTACTGATAGGCGATTCATCTGCGTTACACCGTATAGGCAGGTACACACTACCGATAGGCGATTCATCTGCCTAACAGCGTATATGCAGGTATACACTCTAACGATAGGCGATTCATCTGCGTAACAGCGTATAGGCAGGTACACACTCTACTGATAGGCGATTCATCTGCGTAACAGCGTATATGCAGGTATACACTCTCTACTGACAGGCGATTCATCTGCGTAACAGTGATAGGCAGATACACACTCTCTACCGATAGGCGAAACGTCCCGTGTCCAGTGACATATATTTACAATTTCGTTGTACAGGTAAACAATACAAATGCCGCACTCACTCGTGGCTTGACAGAAGTAAAGCCTTGATATCAAAGTAATTACCAGTAAAATGTCGGCCACTTCGTTGTACACTTTGACGTAAGGGCGGAGGATGTCGAAATGGAAGGCTGGAGTTAGTAACTTCCGGTTCCGCAGCCATTTACTGCCATTACTGGTTGATAACCCTTCACCTAGAAAACAAAGAGCACGTAATACAGACAAGTAACACAAGCCAGAGAACCGAAAATAAAATTTAATTCAATTTAATATTGGAATTTGGCTTGTTTATTACGCACAAAATATTGGAATATACTATTGAATTTAACATATCTTATTGCTTAATTACTTACTCGGACGAGTACGGAAAAATGGCATTTTTTTCAACAAATATAGATGATTTTACATAGATGTTTTGTCATTAAGAACGTTGCTAAATGGCTGGTTTTGTCGGAGGTTTAATTTACATGTTTAGCCTTTTTTCTTATATCGAATCGTTCCCGTATAAAATTAAAACAATTTAATACCGTTTTCTTCAATTCAATTTCTTAGGTGAACGATCTTGCTTTTAACAAACCTTGTTATTGTAAATATTCCTAGGCTCGATTCTGAAATTGGAGCTTAGTTATTCACTGAAACCTCACCCGGGCCCGTATTCATGAAACATTGAAGAGACGTAAAGACGAATACAGTTTTTCATGTTTACAATTGTTTTTTAATTGTTTGACATGATTTAAGCGAGTTACAAGAAAGTTGGTTTGAGCACAAAATCCACGTTGAACATAAGAATGGTTTCATGAATGCCGGCTCTGTAGTCAGATTGGTATTTCACCAATAAATTGTATTTGTTGGAAAAAAGCTGCAATCGGTCCTTTGTATTTAAAATTTCGGAAAAAGAATCTTTTAGAAAATGAACCACTTGATAGTAACTAGTGGGACTACGAAACTGACCTATGAACGATTGAAGCACATTATATTGATGACCACGCCCTGTTGGCTTCGGGTCGGATGACTGGAGAATTATTTTCGCTGTGTCAGGGTGAACTGCTTGTATCAACGGCTTAAATGCCAACCAAACAGCAGCCATCTTGGACTGACTTGTCGCAGCTAATTTATCGTAAGTAGAAGTCACCGAATAGTCGTCATCGAACTAGAAATGGAAAAATAAATAAAATAACATATAAGACAAAATGGTTCCTTGCAATCGACGAGATGTGACACCTATGCCTACGTCACTCTATTTTATCATGGACTTTATTAAGGATCCTTGTTCCAGTGCATTTTGTTTTTGCTTTTTTAAGTATCCACAGTAACTTCCCTTTAATTTCGTTTTCTTTATACGTGTACGTAGCTATATTACAGGGACACTACCGCTAACCAGACAACTCAGTTTTTATAGAACGATGTATCATAATCTGTGGTCAAGGTTTCCAATCCCGATCTAAACTCAATGGCTTTTTACACTAAGAACACTATAGTTAATTCAAATTTTCACTTTCATTATTTTTATTATTTTTCAAAAAAATCCTGCAGGTATGGTTTTGATTTTAGAAATTATAATCAGAGCTTAAGCCAAGCCGGAAAAAATGGAATGCATAGGTATATATTTTTTGGCAGTGGTACGGGGATCCTTAAACTAGATCAGTGGTACGGGGATCCTATAACTGGATCATTGGTAGGGGGTCCTTAAACAATATCAGTGGTACAGGTATCCTTAAACTTTATCAGAGGTACGGGGATTCTTAAACTAGATCATTGGTACGTGGATCCTTAAACTAGATCAGTGCTACGGGGATCCTACAACTAGATTAGTGGTACGGGGATCATTAAACTAGATCAGTGCTATGGGGATCCTTAAACTAGATGTGTAGGGGGGGGGGGGGCGGGGCTTAAACTAGATCATGTGTAGGGGGATCCTTAAACTAGATCATGTATAGGGGGATCCTTAAACTAGATCAGTGATACGGGGATCCTTAAACTAGATCATTGCTACGGGGATCCTTAAACTAGAACAGTGCTAGGGGATCCTTAAAGTTAATCAGTGCTTCGGGGATCCTTCAACCAGATCAATGGTACGGGGATCCTTAAGCTAGATCAGTGGTACGGGGATCCTTAAGCTAGATCTAACGCAATTATTTATATAAAATGTTTCTTTTCACACATGGCGCCGTCATCTTGTTGCGATATAAATAACTGTGACCTCGAGGTCAAATGATACAGTTTAAAGTTATGAATGGGGCGTAGCACAAATAAAGATGGGAGAGATTGTGCTGAAAAGTACACAATGCTTCAAATTTTTCGTTTTCTTATTGTATTTTTTAACCGATCATAAACATGTCCCAAAAGTGTTGTGGGACGCAAACGTTTGTACGATGCATATACTGAATCAATATGAAGCTTACGCATTTGATATGACCCCAGAGAGGGTGAAGGGGGCCTGGACTGGCATAGTTCTTCAACATCCGACAGAGGGCGCGGTACCTCCACAAGGCAGGGATGACAACCCACAGCACGTAACCAATCACAATGGCTGAAACGATCTGCAGCGTGGTGTCCATTGTCCGCTAACAATGATTGATAGTCAATGTTACAACCTGCTGAAAAAATGGAAAAAAATAATCAATAACACGTTAACTTTCAATTTTAGGTTATAGTAGATAGAGTGGGCATAGGTCCAAACATCAACCGGTGACGTCATAGAAGTCAGAATCGTAACACGTGACATCATCGAGGTCCAAGCATCAGCCCGTGACGTAGTTACATAGGTCCAAGTATCTACATGTTACGTCATATAGATCAAATAATCCTGGAGTAGATCCGGGATTTTGTGAAGCCCCAATAAGCTGCGTAATACAGTTTTACCGTAAAACGTAAAACACTACTACTATCGTTTGACCTAATTACTGAAATAGTAATGTATTTAGAATTGAATCCTGTAACACAATCAAAAATTGTTTATATGTGACGTTTCGATGACTAGTAAAGTGTACAATTAGTTATGTACCGAAATGACTCGATTCAGCTACGCTTTGTGTTACTATTAGAACATGTTGGATTAAAATCGTGAAAGTGTTCTATTTATATAGAATAGTAAGTGTCACCTTGTGCACATAATGAAACGTGCCCGCGTAAAAATTGTGAAGCCACGATACCCGAAATGATAACCGGTTTGGCAGGTAATGCCCTTTTTAAACCCAGCGAAACCCCACTCGTTGCCAAGTAAGGTCAAGCTAAAATGTCAGCGCTTCCTTAGAAACAATAGCCGAAAGAGATAGTCACCGGGGAAGATCTCAAAACCAGATTTCAGTTTTTAAATCTCAACTGAAAGCTTTTTGAAGTGTCAGTGAGTGTTTTGGGCGACAACTCCAATCTCATTAAAATCATCTGTTACATGGCTCCGCCTGAACATCTGAATGTGCCGCCGTCAGGGTCACGTTCAAGTGACCTTTAGATGAACCAATCAGAGGCGCGCTGGCAAAAGTTTGCTAGCGAATCGGAATATCATGGTTGATAGATAAATAGCGAGGGGTATCGAACAGATTAGTTTTTCAAAACAAATATGGCGGCGGGAACTGACGTTTCAACGACGCCAAGGAAAACGTACCAATTTGGTAATAATTGCGTAGGCAACACCGCGATACAGTCTTTCTTCTCTAATAAAGCTTCGAATGTCTTTTTCTGTTCGGGTTTCAGATTGTTCAATCTCAAATAACTTTTGCATCATTCTCATCAATATCCGCCATATTTGTTACAACTCTGAGCGCCCTTTTGAAAGAGGGTCTTTGATTGGTCAAAATTTAATGAGTATTTATAAATATCAAAGTCACCTGAACGTGACCCTGACTGCGGCACACTCGGATGTTCAGGCGTAGCACGAAGTTAACGAAGCCATGTAACATATGATTTTAATCAGATTGCGACAACTCGAGATGGAGATTGCCAAATACCAAGGGATTAAAATCCATACCGTGTTATTGCTCGAAGTTGATCGTTATTGTAAACATTGATCATATTATTCACTGTCACTGTGTAACTGCTGTATATTGCTGTTAGAGGCCCTACATGATGTACTGTTTTCCACTGTCACTATTGTAAAAAAAATCACAATAATCGCTGCTTCGCTATGACCTCATCTCGTGGTGCAGAAGTGACTGTTTGCTCACACCAGAGACGTATTATACGTCTCTGCTCACACCAATAAGTAATTTATATCAATCAAGGTCCTCTAGCCTACTCCGACGGTGTGCGGGCTTGCAGTCTACCTCCTAATTTATGACAAAAAATATAATTATGAAAATACCCGCTGTCGTTCATTTCAAAACAGGAACTACTAGTAATGCTGATAACCTACTCTCTCTCCCTCCCTCCCCCTTCACTGTCATTATTTTTTAAATTGATAATGTAATCCCGACCAAGCTTATCAGCTCGCCCTCCAAGTTTACTAAGTAAATATTAAAAGTTCGGTCAACTTAACACATAGTAGATCTATATGATATACAGTGTCATCCCACAGTTACTGCAATACACAGGCCATCAATCAATAAAAATCAAAGGGTTTTACTAAATACATGTTTACACCTTAAAATTTGTATTTTAGTTAATAATAATATTTATTCAGGTAAAAGGCAAATAATTCACTTCTATCACATTTTGCGTATTGGACATAAATATATATATATATTATCACAGAAAGAGATCTTCTTAAATAACTTAGTTATGCCCTCAGATTAGAAGTCAGTCGGGTGTTAAAACTGGATTGGATTAGATTGATATCGGCCTTTACCTGGGATGACCCATAAAGCCACATTGTGGCTTAATTCCAATGGGGTCCCTTAAAATAAAGTTAATTACCTGAATACCAATTAGTAAAAACTAACGTTTTAAGAAAATTAAACAACAACTGACCACGGAATTAGATTAGATGTTATCTAAGTCCGTGATCAAACCTATCATCAGGCATCATAATATACCACCACATATATATAAGCTACAGAAGTTATATTAAGACCCATGGCTATAAATAGTCGGGCTATAATAGCTTATACATAGTCTATATATAGAGAACTAAGGACGGTTATTTTCAGCAGTATAGCTAACATTCAAGTATACAGATCGCGAATATTCATCTTTTGCTTTGATATATTGTGACATGACCAATTTTATTACCTTTATTCACGCAGGAGCCCGAACTCTGCGTGACAATGGTCAAGTCTTCTCTTTCACCAGGTCCGGTCTACCCCAACGGACGACACGGGCAGAAATTAGGACGATTCAGGTGTATCGGGAAATTTTAACCCCGGTAATAAAGGTCCGTTCATTCCTCGTGGTAATCACAATTTTTCCTTTTCAAAATTCTCTTTTGATGAAGCAGATACACTAAAGCATAACGATAATTATTTTCAAAGGTTATCAAAATTGCTTAAAATATTTAGAACAGAAAAATTGCATGATGTAAATACATCTTAACATGATATCTGCTGCCAAGTTAGTCAAGTAAATTATGAATACCTGTGTTTGGTACGTGAAATGATTTCACTCGTTAATCACACAAAGATCAATGGCTTACTTAATAATTCAATTTCAAGATAACAAGGACAGCAATTAATTACTTTTTGTTACAACGGGTAGTGAGATTCACCACTAAGGAGACCACAGGTCTGTAACCTGATTAAAGAGGCGAGGTCTAGAGAGGACTGCAGGGGAAGTTATCGACTCGCTACCATTACCAAAAACTATAAGATCACGAAACGGATTTAAGGGAGAGACAACGGATGCAAACCCTCTCCGGACCTCCCCCTATTACAGATTGGTGCCTCGACCAGGATGTAGTCGTGTAAGTACTGATACATGAATCATGATCATTTTTATTTTTTTTTGTAAATATCAGTTGTATTTTGTATAAAAGTTTTATTGGTATACTTATGACGTTGTAGATTCTCTGTTGAAAGAAATGCAGTACCTTTTTAATTTGCATTTTATTTGATAACCCTCCCCAGACTTTTCCCTATTACAAAACCATCAACGAAATATCCTGATAAAAAATGTTCAATTAAGTTAGAGTTATTGAAATACGGGTTTTGTTCTAAAGTTTTGGTAGGGTAGATACCATTTCTGTTATTAAGTGTTACATCCGGACGATCAAATGGAATCAAAATCTTATTTTACTTTTTATGCATACAGAAAGGTGAAAAGAGATAGAGTTGCCCCCCTTACCACAGTTACTAACCATTCGAAATACCCTTTCGTCATTTTCTACAAAACTGACCATTTAAGGTACAACGTCAAGCAGCCATCCAGAGCAACAATATCAACAGTTTGTTAGAGACTCGTTTGACAATTTTAACACAAAGCGCTGGCGAAATATTTATGGGGCTAACATGTGAAGGTAGGTGACCCCTCCCGGACCCCTACCCCGAACAGTGTATAACTAAGAACTGCAAATGTTTGAAATAACTTACCGGTAAATGTAATATCAAGATTTCAAGATTCAAGATTTTTTTATTACGCTTTGACACACAAAGTGTGTTACAAGAGGTCAAAAAAAAATAATATCAATCAAATAAAACATGACAGAGAGAGTAGATTACACATGGACAGATTCAGCATTATTTCATAGGTAGATTCAGCATTATTTCATAGGTAGATTCAGTATTATTTCATAGGTAGATTCATCAATATTTCAGAGATAGATTCAGCAGTATTTTAGAGATAGATTCAGCAATATTTCATAGATTCAGCAATATTTCATAGATTCGGCAATATTTCATAGATAGATTCAGCAATTTTTCTTAGATAGATTCAACAATATTTCATAGATAGATTCAACAATATTTCAGAGATTCAGCAATATTTCATAGATAGATTCAGCAATATTTCAGAGATAGATTCAGCAATATTTCATAGATTCAGCAATATTTCAAAGACAGATTCAGCAATATTTCGTAGATAGATTCAACAATATTTCTTAGATAGATTCAGCAATATTTCATAGACGGATTCAGCAATATTTTATAGATAGATTCAGCAATATTTCATAGATAGATTCAGCAATATTTCATAGATAGATTCAGCATTATTTCATATATTCAGCAATATTTCATAGATAGTTTCAGCATTATTTCATAGATTCAGCAATATTTCTTAGATAGATTCAGCAATATTTCATAGATAGATTCAGCAATATCTCATAGATAGTTTCAGCATTATTTCATAGATAGATTCAGCAATATTTCATGGATAGATTCACCAATATTTCATAGATTCAGCAATATTTCATAGATAGATTCAGCAATATATCATAGATAGTTTCAGCATTATTTCATAGATAGATTCAGCAATATTTCATAGATAGATTCAGCAATATTTCATGGATAGATTCACCAATATTTCATAGATTCAGCAATATTTCATAGACAGTTTCAGCATTATTTTATAGATTCAGCAATATTTCTTAGATAGATTCAGCAATATTTCATAGATAGATTCAGCAATATCTCATAGATAGTTTCAGCATTATTTCATAGATTCAGCAATATTTCATAGATTCAGCAATATTTCATAGATTCAGCAATATTTCATAGACAGATTCAGCGATATTTCAGAGATAGATTCAGCAATATTTCATAGGTTCAGCAAAATTTCAAAGACAGATTCAGCAATATTTCGTAGATAGATTCAACAATATTTCTTAGATAGATTCAGCAATATTTCATAGACGGGTTCAGCAATATTTTATAGATAGATTCAGCAATATTTCATAGATAGATTCAGCAATATTTCAGAGATAGATTCAGCAATATTTCATAGATTCAGCAATATTTCAAAGACAGATTCAGCAATATTTCATAGATAGATTCAGCAATATTTCATAGATAGATTCAGCAATATCTCATAGATTGTTTCAGCATTATTTCATAGATAGATTCAGCAATATTTCATAGATAGATTCAGCAATATCTCATGTTGTTTGATGTACATATGTATCAGATGTATTGTTATAAAGTATCTGCTAATAACTAAAACTGTTTCAAAACTGAACTGGATAACCACTTGGAAAACATTGATGTATTCTATAACTCCAAAGCTTACCTCACTGTAGTGTAGCCTGTACGTTAAGAAAAAGTTACTCAAAAAACGGGTTCAAAAATTAATTCTGAGTATTTATGGACCCATAATATAGGTTAAAAAGCCTTTAAAGATTAATAATAATCTAAACCGGTTGCAAAATATTCTATAAACAAGTAAAAATATGCATTTTAGAGAGGTGACCTAGATTTATATTTATACAAAAATAAAGTTTAGATTATGTCGTTGACAATTGGTTTTTACACAAGACACACGTCACCTTTATGCATCTAAATAAACCTATTAAATTTCTCTTCTTGAAATGTCCAATTCGCCGACACGTCAAACCTAGTCAATTTTGCTGGTATTTGGTGATCTTATTCTATTAGGAGACCACATGTAGTTTGAGACCACTTTCAATGTCCCATGTTGTAATGTTTAATTGTGGGTGAAAAACCTGTATAAAGAGAACACCTGTATTAAGAGACCATCCTTGCTGGTCCTTGTAGAAGCGGTTTTGATTGTGAACAAAACCTGTATTAAGAGAACACCTGTATTAAGAGAACACCTGTATTAAGAGACCACCCTTGCTGGTCCTTGTAGTAGCGGTTTTGATTGTGAACAAAACCTGTATTAAGAGACCACCGGGGTTAAGATATCACCTTTAATGTCCTTAATGAAGCGTTTTTAATTGTGATCAAAACCTGTATAAAGAGACCACCGGGGTTAAGAGACCACCTTTAATGGTCATTGTTGTACAGGTTTTAACTGTTTATAACACTTACTAATCACCGGAGTATTTCACCATCATTATCATACGGTACTGTGTATGGTAGTCATATATCTTGTTTCATTGATACATGTAAAATTGTCTTTATTTACATTTGACCTGCGTCCTGCCATTGTAATGCATTGAGAAGGCAAAGGTTGTTGTGAGACTATAACAACATTTGCTATTGTAACGTCATCAATCTCTTTTGTGACGTCATCAATTTCACTTAATTTACTGTTAAAAAAATGTTCTAAGTAACTAAGTAACGCATAACTACTCTATCAAAATGTTGATATAAATAATAAAATGTTTTAGCAAATATTGTTACGTCCTAGCTACAACACACATTTCTATTGCTGACAAACTTACATGAAGCCCTACCGGGCTTTCTTAAGTTCGTCATCAATAGCAATGTTTGTTCAAGGACCATACAATGTAGTCAAGTTTCAAGTTTCAAGTTTTATTCAAACTTTGGGTCATTGGCCCATCAGTATACAATACATATTATACACAAATCATGGACAATGTAGAGAGGATGAAAACAATCATATTCCATTATAATACCCTTTATTTGTTTGCCTCATAATTTTCCTAGTATACACAATTCTTTAATATTATGGACACTCAATAACTGGACGACTTTAAACACAGATGTTTTTTTCCAATAATAGCTTTTGATAAAACGAGATCTGAGATTTTGGAATTTAGAACAGACCAATAAAAATGAAATTCGTCCTCTAATTCAGAGGGGGAGGTACACTGTTTACAATATCTACGTTCTCTAGGTATATTAGTATACCTTCCAACTTCTATAGCCAAAGAATGGGTAGATGTACGTATTTGAGTTAAACAAATGCGATATTTCTTTGGTATATATTTTGTGAGGTAAAATTGTAATGTTTCTCCAATATCTATTATACGTTCATTCATTGCTTATATGGATGACGCGTTGACAGTGACGTCACGATGGAATGTGAATAGCTAACCACATCATGTTCAAATAAAGACCACAATTAAGATCACTTCCCCACACACTTACAAAGTGACCACAACAACCTCACCATACATACTTATAAGCGTAACTATGGCATGATGACGTCACAACGAATCATTGTAGTCATGGGTGACTGTTGCGCAGTATTTATATTATGATTCCAACATACGGGAACTTACTGTTATTGAGTATTTCATTGAAGTCATCTGGTTACAAATATAGACCAATCAGGACAGTATTTTCTATTCACTGCATTACAAATAACTCGGAATGTCCGTTCAGATGCCGTGATAAGGCGACGATAGAAAACAAAAACTGCTTTGGTACAAACACAAAAACATTTACGTCATTACAATCAAATGATCTGATTTGTGCGAGCACTCTTTCCAGAAACTGAAAAATAGCCTCTGACTTTGTTGTTAAACGGGA